TGGAACCGGCCAGTCTACAATGGCCTTGACCTTAGCGGGATCCGCTCGAAGGCCACGCATCCTAATGGAGCACCCTAAAAGGAAATTTCTTTCGCGCCGAATATGCACTTATCGGGATTAGCATACAGCTTATTTGTGCGCATGCACTCGAGCACCGCACTCAAATGAACGATGTCACTTTCCACATCTGTCCTCCCATGCCGCACGACAGTGGACGAAGATGTCGTCAAAGTATATCTGCGAATACGCCCGATGGGGCCTAAACAATTTTGCCGCAAGACGATTACATGTTGCTGGTGCATTTGACATCACCAGCCACTTCCAGAGCATTCCGCTCGGAGTACTCATCACTGTCAGCGGGAAATCACGCTCTCATGAGCAATTGGTAAAAACCATCGGCCAGGTCGCGTGCACTGTACTTTGACGGGCAATCATATTGTTTTGGAGAACACCCTTCCTAGGAACCAGCGTCTGTGCCGGAATGCTGATAGCGTTTTTTATATCGTAAGCGTGAACGATGTGCCACATGCCGTTTGGCTTCGAAACACAAATTTGGGTGTCGAATGGGGGTCTTGTCTCACACACCTTTCCTGCGTCGTGCTTCGTACGGAAGATAGCGTCAGTGATGTCACAAGTTCCTTGGGGAGGGACCATTAGGGTGTTACGCAATGTTTGGTTCCCGAAACCATGTCAATCTCATGACGCACACCTCCGTTCGGAGGTAGAAACGACGGCGGGTCTTTGGAGATGACGTCTCGGAATTCCTTAACCAAAGGATAATACGGATCCAAAGGATCTTCCGGGATCGACGATCCACGGTGTGCGCTCAGCACCTTTTTAGTGTCCTACTAGACAACTTCATCCAGAAGCGACGACGACTTAGTTTTCTCGTTTGGTCTTACAATAACCACCTCAGCTAAATTACCTACCTTCAAGGCACCGCACCAATCTTCGAAGGACATCTCCTCCGGCTCAAGAAGAGCATTCATCGCGGAAATAGCTTCGAGGATGACGTCGCCGTCTTTCTCTCCTGTCATACCGCTTACAAGGGTATATAGCTGTGTCCTTCCGTCTACGGTTGACACACCCTGGGTTAGGGTCGTCTCCCTGCGTCTTGCAGATAACATACGGCTTCGCCGTCTTCTCTCTATAGACATTTTACCTCTCGTCGGATTCAGTGGGAACTTGCACTCAGCGTCGTCCAGTGTCTCCACTCCCTGCTCCATCAGAGCCTTGATGTTATTAACAACATCCGACGAAGAGCTGCAATTTCCGCAGTTCTCAGTAGGTTATGTGCCACTCCACGTTCAGTCCGCGAGCCACACTCGAAACTTACACCTATGGTGTTTGGCAGCTTGGATACTCCGAAATCCAGCACATTGACCGTCTCGGTCCATTGCCCGCGCCAATAGCGCTTCTGCTTTATAGCAGAGGTGAATTTATGACGTATCAAAGGACGCGTAGCGCCCACGGTTCTTAGACCTCCAATCAACCCATGGCTCATGGTGTTTAAGCCATGTAATACCAGAGACAAGTTCATACGTTTGATCCAAGTCTAAGACTCGACAGTGTTCCGCGCTATCAAAGTCAAATAACTTGACACCGAGGTCCTCAAGAAAACTCAGCTCAGTGACACAAGACCCCACCAGTAAGCGATGGAACGCGCTTTCGGCGCCTCAGCATACTGCTGACTTCCTTCGATTGTGGAGCGTCGAGCATGATTGCCCGATGACCAGGATTCGATAAGGATCTTCTACACTTCTCAAAACCCTTCACGGTCGCTTTTACGATCAGCAAGCCCGGCTTGCACACACGATCTGTGTTCAAGAGCTTGAAGCTTTGAATGCTAGGCCTTGCTGCCCTTTTCTTCGTTTAGGGCCCAACAGAACTCAGTTCTACCCTAGTTGGACGCTCCGCGCCTTTGGGGTGGTCTCTTTCCCCCGCGTCAAACCAGACTAGCTAGAAGCGGAATGTCGGCTCGACGAACCTTGTTGAGCCTTGCGCAGGAGACAACCAGTCTGAAGGTGACGGGTGTCTTCACAGACAAAACACCGTCGGGTGTTTACGTGTGATTAGTGGAAGCTAATCCAAGGTCACCGACCTTACGTTCTTTTCAAGAATTAGTACTAGGGTAGCGGATCGCAATTCACTACTTCTAAGTACTAGAGCCTTACCAAGCACGTGTTGGCTTCTTGTTACGGTGTAGCCACACCACTGTGTCACAACACTAACTGTGTAATACAAACCTATGTACGGTCGCACAATCTTGTGCGACCCGCCTTTTCTCACAAGGGCACGCGTAACCCCGTTACATCCTTATTGTGGACAGGGTAGTCTTCTCTACCGCTGGCACGCGCAATTGCGATTACGAGTCCATGGATATCCGACATCTACTTGAAGTTTAGCACATTCTATCTCGAAAACTGAAGTGTCAGAAACGACTTGAAAATGGTCGATCTCGATTTGGAAGAGCCAAATTTAGAGGACGCATGAGGCTTTCCCCGCAGCCTTAAAGCCCGCCTCTTCCGTCGTATCACATTAATAACCTTTTAGGGAAGGTGAGTGGTATGCCGCACCATTCCGGCATGGTTTGCACTAAATAATGCGAGTAATTGACCAGGGCAAGCCATCTCCCCAAGACGCTTTGAAAAAGACCAATCCATAGCGGCCTTAATCTCGCGCTGTAAATGTGTGGTGCGTGGTACGCGTGAGCTTTTGGACCCTCAACAAGCAGTAATTCTGACTTATCACTAGATGCAGTAAAACTTTTACTTCAGGAGTATGTAAGTTATATAATGAACTAATCATGGAATATGTGACTTTTGAGATAGCAGAGCAATCTAGGTAAGTAGTTACGAAAGAAGCCCTTGGTGCCGCCCTATGGTGAAGTGAGCTAGCCAAACATCTGTGCGTTTGTTAATGCAGAGAGTTGAAGCTTTTTCTGTGCAAAGTGCATGGCAAACCCATTGCACAATCAGCATTAGTTGAGTCGGCAAATATCGTAGTCTCACGTGTCATGGCATGACATTAAGACGGCGATCATTTTAATTGGTTGTAAATGAATAACAAATTTCTACGACCGAATTTTAGCGAAACAGTAGGTTATATAAGAGTTGAAGACAACCTCCTAAAAATGCAGAATTACGCTACGCTTAAAGCAGCGCTGCTTTGTGCATTCTTGACGCTATTCTCTGCTCAAGCTGAACATTGGGTCGTCATTGTGGCTGGCTCTAAAGGGTATAGCAACTATCGACACCAATCAGACGCCTGCCATGTCTACCACGTCGTACGACGCCATGGTATACCGGCTGAGAATGTAATCCTTATGATGTACGATGATATCGCGTGGCACGAACGAAATCCATACCCAGGTCAGCTTTTTAACAAGCCTATGACAAAGAACGCGTCGCACGAAGATGTGGTAGCTGTGGACGTGTACAAGGGCTGTAACATCGACTTTCGCGGGATTGAAGTGACTCCTGACACGTTTGTGAATGTGTTGACCGGTAACAGCTCCGGGGCTTTTAACAAGAAAGTCTTGCGTAGCACAGACACTGATCGAGTATTCATAAATTTTATTGACCATGGCTCGCGTGGCAATGTCTACTTTCCAAATATGAAGCCGCTGGCGGCTTCGAGGCTCAAGAAAGCTATGCGAACCATGTACGATAAGAAAATGTACAAAGAACTCGTATTATATGTGGAGGCTTGTGAATCGGGCTCAATGTTTTCTGACAGTTTCTTAAAAAGTATTAATGCATACGTGACGACAGCAGCGAACGGGTTTGAGTCGTCATGGGCTACTTACTGTCCTCCTTTTGACTTAGTTAATGGAAAAAGCATTGGTTCATGCCTTGGAGATTTGTATTCCGTCAATTGGATGGAGGATAGTGATCTGACAGATTTGTCAAATGAGACGCTCAAGACGCAATATCACCGTATCAAGAACGAAACCACGAAAAGCCACGTGAAATCTTTTGGGTCGTCGCAGCTTCGTCACGAGATTGTTGGCAATTATCAGTCAACGTATGACCAGAATGATTCTAGCACCTTTAGTATTGAGCATTCCAAGACACTTGATACAACATGCATTCATGATACGGCTTTTCGGATTCAAAGCGCTGTTGACGCACGCGATGTGGACCTTGTCGTTGCGTTTTACCGTTATTTACGTGCCGTCCCAGGCAAAGATCGACGTGGTTTTGCGAACGAACTGAGTAATATAGTTTATGGTCGGGAAGCCTCTGACGAAGTGTTCGAGACAATAAAGGTTTTATACGAGCAACACACAAATATGCCTTTTGTATCTCGAGTGGAAGAACCAAAGAACCTGAAGTGCCACGACGAGATCTTTCGCGACTTCCAGACGTCCTGTGCATTTATTGGAGGGTTCACTGGTTACGCCCTGAAGTACGCAGGCACCTTAGTCGATCTATGTGAGTCGAATTTGCAGCAAGGTAAAATATTGGCCATAGTTCACGACGCTTGCCGGATTGTGAACCAGTCTCAACGTTTTGCATCGCGAAATGGTGTATTTGACTTAAATACAGTCATGTTTGATTGATGTAGCCATCTTTGACTGATTTCAAAATGGTTGGACATAAAGCTGCTGACACTCGCAGCCTTCATTCGGTAATTTTTCACTGCAAACTCGTTAAGAAAATTTAGTCATATTTTCAGGTATTTTACAAGCGTTCACAATGATTCTATAATGATATAATGAGCCTGAACCGTTCGAAAGCGGGTCATGTTGACAACCTTTTGCTGAGTGAACACGATCAATCTAGAATCGACGTAGCGTGCTAGCCAGAGATTAATTTAAAAATAAAGGATTAATAATACTGGAGTTCGCCTATGCGCGGCAGGTATTCAACATGCCGATTGTGGTGACTGACTAGCTTTTCCGAGTCACTCAGGCTGAGATGGATCAATGCGCTGCACCTAAACGCACATCAATGAAAGCCTACATCTCGGGACTAACGCCGTTTGGAAAATGTTCATTGTCATCTTCAAAGACCCTGTCCGACTTGTCAGCACCCAAGTTCTCATAGAACTTCATAAGTTCCTCGTGTTCATCCTCAATGGCAACATCAAACGGCTGCAACAACATATTATTATCAACACTAGCACTTAAAAGAGGCAGTCGTACAAACTATACTCACAGTATGTCCCTCAGAGTTGCGTGCGTTCATGTTCGCGCCATGTTCAAGAAGTAGCTTCGCACACTCAACCGTTTCACTTCGATGCAACGGCGTGTCTAAATCATTGTCTCCTGCAAATTATCGACAAGAGCGTTACCAGTTAAGCTAATTAAATATCGTAGTAAAACAGTGCACCAAGTGTGACGTCGGCACCACTCGCGAGAAGAAATATAACCAGTTCCATATGGTTGTAGCTTACGGCTGCCTGCCTGTGACCATAACTTTAATGTCAATATTACTAATTCACAATCACACATTCACTCACAATGGCGTGTATCCATTTTCATCCTTCGCATTGACGTCACCTCCACTAGCCAGAAACGATTTGATGCTCTCAAAATCCCCATCACTTGCCGCCGTCCAAACGTTCACGCACATTTTTTACACACTCGAATTAAATTAAGCAGAAAATTGACATATAATTATCGTTAAATTATAAAAAATACGCCTCAAGAGCTACTACGGCATGGCGCACCAACAGCAGGAACACACAACCGCCGCTTCCTCTTCACGGTCTTCGCCCCTTTTGAGCCGCTCATCAGATCCTCAACTCATTGGTGACACAGTTGTGTTCTCACACACAAAGTTGCCATCTCGTCAATCAGGTGTTGTGGCGGGTACAACGTCATCATACCAGCAGTCTGTAGTAGCATCATTTGGCAAACATGAATTGCAGCCTCAATATAGAAAATTTCGGGTGGAAGCTCCTCTAGGTGAAGGTGTGCGACGAATGAAAGTTTGTGTTATAAAACATGGCGAAAAATTAGGCTTTGGCGCGCGTCACGATCGGTACAAGCGACTCCAAGTGTCCACATTGCAAGGTAGCGACTCGAAGCTCCAGATTGGGGATACACTATTGTCTGTGAATGGAGCAGATCTTACGGGTCTTGAATTTGAGTCAGTTATTGAGCTTTTGAACTCGACACAGCCAGGAGAATTAATATTTGAAATCGAAAGGGTGGGGACTGGTAACCATAACCTTAATGGACCCTTTGTGGACCCAAGAATTCAAAATGCTTCCGTGTCGGTGAGACATATGTGGAATGCAGCCAATAATGCAGCCACAACGAGTGGATTAAAGCAAACACTTTGGCCCCAGAATGAGCCAACTGTGCCTAGTCGTAGGCTACTTGCTGGCTATCCATTGACCACAATTATGCCCCCAACCGGAATTCCACCTTCTTCCATTCCCGTGGCATCATCAACAACGCAACAACCGAGAAAACGAACACGACCGTGAGTTGTTATTGTTATTAGCTCGAATTGATCACTCACTTTTACTTCAGTGCTCAGTGTGTGTTGGATAATAACGGCCAGCCGGTGAATATTAGTGTGCTTCTGACTGAGTTAGCAAGAGAAAAGACTCAGAAAGCTACAATCGAGGAGAAGAATACTGTGCTGCGAAAACGTCTACAACGCATGCTGATTGAAAATGATGCTGCACGAGCGCAAGCGTCAGAGAAGCTCAAAGCTGAGCAGGAAAAGGCAGACAGAAAGTTGGCTGAAGTACAGGACAAGCTAGTTGCGATTCAGGCGCAAGTGCGACTTCAGGATCGGGCACCCGACCTGGGGCGAGCCAATTCGATTGAAAATGAATTGACAGCTTGTAAGGCACAGATCGAACGTTTAAAGAAGACAGAGGCGGATCGAACGGAGCTGCTTGCCACAAAGTACCGTACTGAATGTCGGATTGCTTCAGTCGACACAAAGCGTGTGATGAATCGAATTGTGGATATTTTTCAATCAAAGCTTCGACAAAATACTCGTCTGAGACGCGATAATTCAGACAAAGACGAGCTGGAAGTCGCGTGTGACGGAGTGCGGCGTCTTGTCTTTATGAATATCTTCAAAATGAAGCATGATTTTGGTTTTTACACGTCGGCATCCTTTCACTCGCAAGACCCAGTACAGTTAACTTTGGAGCAACAAGAGTTCGCAAATGTCTTTGGCAATTCCCTTATTCATGAAGAACGTGCAGGATTGCTCTATGTCGCCACGGCTCCCATGGTACGTACATTATGTTAGAAAAAACCACATATGTATAACATCCGAGCTAATTGATGTCATGACTTCGGTATCTCTCGTCAAGCATGTTGTGTTCGATCCTAACACTGAAAGTGTAATTCTTAAGTGTCAACGGGCTGAAGAAAATGCTCTCTCTGATCTTGCTCGCAATTATCGGTCTTGATCATACCCGCTGAATAATATCTGTCTAACTTTGTATAACATCTTAGCAGACTTCCATGTGTAAAATGTTGTTTTTCGCGTTGTTGACAGTTTGTATCGATGTAGTGTTGGTGATAGACAGGGCCATTGATTGCATAACAACATCACGGAGGCGATTCCAGAGCACAGGTGCTACTTTATCCATCGAGTCGTAAGTTTCGCGATTCATTTCAAACACTGTACACGGTTCCACAGATCTGGCAGCCATGTATCGGTATTGACGGCCAAAAAAATCGACCTCTCCGAACATGGCCCCGGGAATCACATTCTCTAGCATAGTCAAGGGCTTCCCAGGCACCACGCTTCCGTCATTGTTCATATAGAGTGAAACGCGGCCACTAGCGAGAAAGTAAAATCGGTCCGGGTAAGATGCAACACGGTAGAAGTCGTAGCCCTCGGGTACCTCATACTTATGAAAGAATTGGTCGATACCTTGAAAGAGCGGTGAATCATCAGGCTCGCCCATAAATCGGTGCAAAAGCACACTGATAGACTCATGGCGATCGGTAACCTCCTTGGCATGATCTGTTTGACCCAACAGCTGATTTTCGCAAAATTCTAAGGCAGAGTCTGCGTCAAGAAAGAAGTTGTTCTCGTCTACAATTTCGTTCATTAGTAGTAGTTGGCGGATTTCTGGTAACACATCTGCAAAAAGTACGGTGATGGCGTAGCGTTTGCAATGTTGCAATAGGATCATAAAGGCGCTACGTGCAGCCGTTGCATCCATGCCGGAAACGCGCGTAAAGTTCATAACAACGTATTCGGTAGGCAGACCGTTTGGATACGGCGCCAAGCTACCGTCTAAACAAACAATAGGGACATCGCGTTTCGACACTGGGGTGAGTGGGATACCACTGTCATCTATATGTTTTGATTCCAAGTCCATTGCATCAGTTAGTCGCTGATTCAATGTCACCCCGGATTCGCGAATGTGGACAGCTTTCTGCACGTCTTCAAGAATCTGCACCGATGAGCCAAAAAAAAGATAGCCATATAATTCCAGATAAACAATAGCATCACGCTTTTGACCAAGAAACGTGCGTGCTGCAAGTTTGCGTACAGCAGCTGATGAACGGGAACGACGGCTGACGACTCGAACCCGTGCATACCCTATAAGAAAATTAATAATTGCAAAGCCAATGCCAAGGACCATTCCCAGTTCAAGCGACACCATATTAATGGCAATGAAAGAAAGCCATAACACTACGTATTCCCGCATCAGGATTTTGTGGTATACGTGCACCAGCCACTCCATCATTAAGTCAAGTGCAATAAAGATCAAAGTGGAAGCAAAGAAAAAGCGCGGCACAAGACTTATGATTGATAGCGGCACTATCACAATGGCCATCTCCGATATAATGACGCACACACCGACGAGACGCGAATTGGTCTTGGATCGGTATGTGAAAATGGTCTGTGAGAAGATGTATGAGCCCGTGTAACCACCGAGCATTCCACTCACGACGTTCGACCAACCTACCGACTTCAGCTCGTGATTAATATTAAGCTGTTTGCCCATATCCATTTCGATCGCTGCAACATCGAGACAAGACGAAAAGGCCACAACAAATGTCATTCCAAGCCACGTCGTAAATTGTTTTGGGATTTGGTTCCAGTGCATCTGCGTCAGATCAAACAAGTCGACTAATTGCATGAAGCCAGCAGAATTCGAAGCCGGTGATACCCACCCAAAGTCACGCGCGTCATCCAAGGAGGTACCACAAACCCCAAGCACGAGAAAAAATAGCAATGGCATGAGTAGAATCGCAGCTGGTAGTGCATAGGAGGTTTCACAACGTAGCGATATGAGCAGCAAAATTACGCCACCTACGATACCCGGGACACACAGTAGCATATTGTGTAGGTCCCAAATTTGCAGCATGGAAGTAAAGTCGTTGATCACAAGGCCTGTGCACAAAGACAAACCCGCATACATACAAAATAAGCCGATATACGCCAAATACCCTCCTACCACTGGCATTGGCAGGTACGATACAAGTCCTGCCAGTTTAAACTTGCCAAGCAATACTAAGACGACACCGAGTGACGCTGTAGCCAGCCCAATGGATACAATTGTGGTCGTAACTTTGGCTTCTAATGCCACATCTTCGCCTAAAGACTTGCAAATCGATGTTGCGATGGCACTGAGAAAGATAAGACCAGCATCCTGCACTTGTCCGATGGCAAATGGGAGCGAGCTTAAAAGTGTGAACATTACTTGATGTACAACACTAGAGAACATGACCAGCTTTGATAATGCTGGCATGAAGCTAGCGAAGTCGGGATGGCTAAATATGATAGCAGCGTAGCCATACATGCACGGGATGGTCAAAATAGAGTTAATGACGCCATAGATGACTGCATTCACGGATTTAGACACTTTGTGCGGGCAGGAGGGACTCTTAAACTTGCTAGCATTGTTTTTCTTCAAACCCGAGTCGTTCGTGACAAGCAGAGCCAGAGACTCGCCATTGCAGGGCGAGTTTTCATGGTCTACCCAGCTCCGGTGACGACGCTGGTGTTGCGAAGATTGAGATTGAGAAGAATTGCCAGCACATTGGAAAAACTGTTCAGCTCTTTGTTCGCGCATCGTCGAGCTCTTGCGACATTTTGTAGCGCCGGAAAGCGCGGGCGAGAACATGATGGTCGTGAATGGAAGGAGACGAGCGGCTACCGGTATATGGAATGGCTTGCACCGGTATATGTTGGCAGGAAATGCGCTTGAAAAGATTGTAGCCTTTCGTCAAACCCCTATATTCATCCACATAATGCATTTGATCAAAGCTAAGTGTGATGCGTATCTCTACTCGGAGCCATTTGCTTGTATATTATGATCATTTGTGCTTAAAGCTTCCTTGATCTCCAGGGGTCACTGATGTCACTTTTGAATTGTTTCAGATTTTTTATACATACAAGAGTACCGATTGCAGAGAGTGTAAATACATTATTATGATGACACAATACGTTCAAAATATGAATATAGGGTCTCACACTAAACTACAAAAGGATAATGTAATTGAACGAGTATCGTATAATTGTGTATCTACACATTGTAATTACAATTTTGTAGTGCTGGTATACTATGGGGACTCACATAACAAGGAATTCCGTAGGATACGTACTCATGTCCAGGCCTCTCTAAATACGGCAATTTATAAATAGAATCCGTATATTGTATTTGCTTTCAAAAT